AGACCTGAGTGCAAAAATGGAGGCTCTAGCCCCTTCCAGAGCTGAGATATCGAAACTCAAAAATTCGGCCCGAAAAAAAAACGACAGTGGTACCCCTTACGTTTTTTTTTTTGGGCGAAAAATTAAGTTTCTCCAATCTTCCCAAATTCTGATAGAGGGCCATGAGACTTAGACCTGAGTGCAAAAATGGAGGCTCTAGCCCCTTCCAGAGCTGAGATATCGAAACTCAAAAATTCGGCCCGAAAAAAAAACGACAGTGGTACCCCTTACGTTTTTTTTTTTGGGCGAAAAATTAAGTTTCTCCAATCTTCCAAAACTCTGGATTCTGATAGAGGGCCATGAGACTTAGACCTGAGTGCAAAAATGGAGGCTCTAGCCCCTTCCAGAGCTGAGATATCGAAACTCAAAAATTCGGCCCGAAAAAAAAACGACAGTGGTACCCCTTACGTTTTTTTTTTTGGGCGAAAAATTAAGTTTCTCCAATCTTTCCAAAACTCTGGATTCTGATAGAGGGCCATGAGACTTAGACCTGAGTGCAAAAATGGAGGCTCTAGCCCCTTCCAGAGCTGAGATATCGAAACTCAAAAATTCGGCCCGAAAAAAAAACGACAGTGGTACCCCTTACGTTTTTTTTTTGGGCGAAAAATTAAGTTTCTCCAATCTTCCCAAATTCTGATAGAGGGCCATGAGACTTAGACCTGAGTGCAAAAATGGAGGCTCTAGCCCCTTCCAGAGCTGAGATATCGAAACTCAAAAATTCGGCCCGAAAAAAAAACGACAGTGGTACCCCTTACGTTTTTTTTTTTGGGCGAAAAATTAAGTTTCTCCAATCTTCCAAAACTCTGGATTCTGATAGAGGGCCATGAGACTTAGACCTGAGTGCAAAAATGGAGGCTCTAGCCCCTTCCAGAGCTGAGATATCGAAACTCAAAAATTCGGCCCGAAAAAAAAAACGACAGTGGTACCCCTTACGTTTTTTTTTTTGGGCGAAAAATTAAGTTTCTCCAATCTTCCCAAAACTCTGGATTCTGATAGAGGGCCATGAGACTTAGACCTGAGTGCAAAAATGGAGGCTCTAGCCCCTTCCAGAGCTGAGATATCGAAACTCAAAAATTCGGCCCGAAAAAAAAAACGACAGTGGTACCCCTTACGTTTTTTTTTTTGGGCGAAAAATTAAGTTTCTCCAATCTTCCCAAACTCTGATAGAGGGCCATGAGACTTAGACCTGAGTGCAAAAATGGAGGCTCTAGCCCCTTCCAGAGCTGAGATATCGAAACTCAAAAATTCGGCCCGAAAAAAAAACGACAGTGGTACCCCTTACGTTTTTTTTTTTGGGCGAAAAATTAAGTTTCTCCAATCTTCCCAAAACTCTGGATTCTGATAGAGGGCCATGAGACTTAGACCTGAGTGCAAAAATGGAGGCTCTAGCCCCTTCCAGAGCTGAGATATCGAAACTCAAAAATTCGGCCCGAAAAAAAAACGACAGTGGTACCCCTTACGTTTTTTTTTTTGGGCGAAAAATTAAGTTTCTCCAATCTTCCCAAAACTCTGGATTCTGATAGAGGGCCATGAGACTTAGACCTGAGTGCAAAAATGGAGGCTCTAGCCCCTTCCAGAGCTGAGATATCGAAACTCAAAAATTCGGCCCGAAAAAAAAAACGACAGTGGTACCCCTTACGTTTTTTTTTTTGGGCGAAAAATTAAGTTTCTCCAATCTTCCAAAACTCTGGATTCTGATAGAGGGCCATGAGACTTAGACCTGAGTGCAAAAATGGAGGCTCTAGCCCCTTCCAGAGCTGAGATATCGAAACTCAAAAATTCGGCCCGAAAAAAAAACGACAGTGGTACCCCTTACGTTTTTTTTTTTGGGCGAAAAATTAAGTTTCTCCAATCTTCCCAAAACTCTGGATTCTGATAGAGGGCCATGAGACTTAGACCTGAGTGCAAAAATGGAGGCTCTAGCCCCTTCCAGAGCTGAGATATCGAAACTCAAAAATTCGGCCCGAAAAAAAAACGACAGTGGTACCCCTTACGTTTTTTTTTTGGGCGAAAAATTAAGTTTCTCCAATCTTCCCAAAACTCTGGATTCTGATAGAGGGCCATGAGACTTAGACCTGAGTGCAAAAATGGAGGCTCTAGCCCCTTCCAGAGCTGAGATATCGAAACTCAAAAATTCGGCCCGAAAAAAAAAACGACAGTGGTACCCCTTACGTTTTTTTTTTTGGGCGAAAAATTAAGTTTCTCCAATCTTCCCAAAACTCTGGATTCTGATAGAGGGCCATGAGACTTAGACCTGAGTGCAAAAATGGAGGCTCTAGCCCCTTCCAGAGCTGAGATATCGAAACTCAAAAATTCGGCCCGAAAAAAAAACGACAGTGGTACCCCTTACGTTTTTTTTTTGGGCGAAAAATTAAGTTTCTCCAATCTTCCCAAAACTCTGGATTCTGATAGAGGGCCATGAGACTTAGACCTGAGTGCAAAAATGGAGGCTCTAGCCCCTTCCAGAGCTGAGATATCGAAACTCAAAAATTCGGCCCGAAAAAAAAACGACAGTGGTACCCCTTACGTTTTTTTTTTTGGGCGAAAAATTAAGTTTCTCCAATCTTCCCAAAACTCTGGATTCTGATAGAGGGCCATGAGACTTAGACCTGAGTGCAAAAATGGAGGCTCTAGCCCCTTCCAGAGCTGAGATATCGAAACTCAAAAATTCGGCCCGAAAAAAAAACGACAGTGGTACCCCTTACGTTTTTTTTTTTTGGGCGAAAAATTAAGTTTCTCCAATCTTCCCAAAACTCTGGATTCTGATAGAGGGCCATGAGACTTAGACCTGAGTGCAAAAATGGAGGCTCTAGCCCCTTCCAGAGCTGAGATATCGAAACTCAAAAATTCGGCCCGAAAAAAAAAACGACAGTGGTACCCCTTACGTTTTTTTTTTTTTGGGCGAAAAATTAAGTTTCTCCAATCTTCCCAAAACTCTGGATTCTGATAGAGGGCCATGAGACTTAGACCTGAGTGCAAAAATGGAGGCTCTAGCCCCTTCCAGAGCTGAGATATCGAAACTCAAAAATTCGGCCCGAAAAAAAAAACGACAGTGGTACCCCTTACGTTTTTTTTTTTTCGGGCGAAAAATTAAGTTTCTCCAATCTTCTCAAAACTCAGGATTCTGATAGAGGGCCATGAGACTTAGACCTGAGTGCAAAAATGGAGGCTCTAGACCCTTCCAGAGCTGAGATATCGAAACTCAAAATTTCAACCCGAAAAAAAAAACGACAGTGTTACCCCTTTGTTTTTTTTTTCGTTTTCGGGCGAAAAATTAAGTTTCTCCAATCTTCTCAAAACTCTGGATTCTGATAAAGGGCCACGAGACTTTGACCTGAGTGCAAAAATGGAGGCTCTAGACCCTTCCAGAGCTGAGATATCAAAATTCAAAATTTCGACCCGAAAAAAAAAACGACAGTGTTACCCCTTTTGTTTTTTTCGTTAAAAACTTTTTTAATAGAACACTAAAAGATATTACAACGTTATTCTATTTGAAACTTGTAATATTTGTTATTGTTTTAAATATTGTTTGTACAACTTCAAGTCTGTGTAAAAGATTTTTCTTTTAATAAAAATCACTAAACCTATTTGTTTTATGTCGTCCTTAAAGATTGAAAATGTATTGTTTTTCCACCATTTTGTAAATTTTTTGGTATTAATGGTTGTAGAATTGGGAGGAGCTACAAGGACGCTCCTCCTCTAATCCTGCGTGAAGAGGCGTGGGAACTTTCTATTTCCACGCCCCTCTTCATCACGTGTTGTGGGAGGGATCTAAGAGGCGGAGTTTGAGTCTGGTCACAGTACAGAGGTTCGAGATGTCATTCTTGGGTTGTTTCAGGAGTGTTCAGACGTGTTTCGTTGGGCTCCCCGGAATTACATTTACACAAGTTTGAATCGGAGGACTTTTGGAATATCTCTAAAGTTTTGGATATATCTTTTGGATAAAGCGTTGCTGTTGGATATACCTTTTGGATAACCGCTGCTGTTGGACATATCTTTGGAGGTGATTAATCTTTAAACAGGATAATTTTGTTCTTCTTTCACCAAGAAAACAGAAGGTAAGTCAGTTTTTATGCTTTTAAGTTTTGATATGCTTAAATAATTGTTTGATGTAATTTAAATACACGCTGTTTTAATACGCATTTTGATAACGTTAATTATTGAATTATATTTTTAAATTTATTAATTATTTTATGTCTAAACGTTTGAAAGTGTTTGAACACTAAAGATACGTGTATTTTAATACTTTTAAACGGCGTCTAATTGTGTAAAAGTACATCATCAAATGTGGTTCGTGGGATAATTTTCCACGGTCACATGACCTCTCCAGAAGTGGGGTGGTGCTGGTGAGGGGTTCCGTATCGTGGGAAAATTTTCCCACGATCACGTGACCAGTCCAGAAGTGGTGGTGGTGGTGAGGGGTGGAAAGAGGAGGGAGACCGTGGGAATTTTCCCACGGTGTACGTACAGTTCATAAATGGGAGGGGTAAAAGGGGGCGGGGCTTATTTTTATGAGGGGCAATAAACCTGTCAGTTTGATGGGTTGTGCCTCATATCCTCTCTCTAACATTCAAAAGATGATTTTTTTATTCCTCTTTTTAGGCAACTTTAGCATGGGTGTCCAAACTTATTCACATCACTGTATATTATTACTTGTCTATATATTACAAAATGTGTCTTTTATGGTGATGTTCGTGTTTGAAAAATGCAGATTTTGTTTTAGCATATTTTTTCATATTTCAGTATTGGAAATTTGGGGTGGGTGGGGGGATGTTGTATATTGTCATGAAAAAGTGTCAATAAGAAAAATGTAATTTCTTAAGATTTTTGACTGATGCAGTTGTTGAATTATTCATGCGATTTTTCCTATAAAACTTCTGAGACCTGTGCAAACATCAGTATTTTTTATGCAATATTTATATATTTATATTTTTCTATGGCACAAACTTGCAACAAACCAATAAAATGAGAATACAACTTTATTCATGAGAACGTTGCTTTACAGTAATTCTGATACATATTTTCAGAATGAAACAGTTACTGAATCATTACATCAATAATATCACTTCTTCGAAACAGAAATAGGACGACACATGCATTCTTATTGTCTTGATGGCTAAACATTTAAAGGAACAGAATAAAAAAAATCCAAAACAGCATTCCCACTATTCTAGCACTAGAAGAGCTGAACGTGTTCTGAAGGTATCCGGTGTCCGCTTGTGTCTCGTGTGTCAGGGAGGAGGAGGAGGAGGAAGAGGAGCTTGTGTTGGGTCAGTAAACAGTCGTACAAGCGCGTCGTGAGGAGTGTGTGTGTGTGTGTGTGGATCTCTTTACAGCACGTTGGAGTAGCAGCTCTCGCAGTGAACCGTCCCGCGGTGGAGGAACATGTTGTACAGCAGATCTCCCATTGGTTTGCTGCAAATCCCACACTAGGGTGCAGAGGGAGGGAGGGAGGGAGGGGAAGAAATTCAATACGCCTCTTCATTATAGCATGTGGTCATGTATCATTAAGTACACTAGGGTTGTGTATCCCAAACAAGCATCCCGCACATTGTGCCTTCCAAACGAGAGTCGTCTGGGGGAAAGCGGATATCGGACGTTACCTTAAAGCAGGACGGGTGACAGGATATGTTCAGGTGTTCGATGGTGATTTTGGCATCGTTTCCCACCGGTTCCCCACAGTATGTACATGGCGTCACATCTCTACTAAACACAAAAAAATGAGGTCGTTAGTTCGGGTGCGTATGACTAATCAACAACGGGAAGGCTTTCCATGAAGACCATGCTTATTATAAGTATACCTCCATTTATACTCAAGTATTATTATTAGGGCTGTCAAACGATTAATCGCATCCAAAATAAAAGTTTGTGTTTACATAAAATATGTGGGTGCACTGTGTATAATTATATTATACATACATATATATATATATATATATATATGCATGCATGTATATTTATTATATTATTTATTTTTATATATTATATATAATAAGAAAAAATATTATTTATATATAAAATATTTATATATGAAAAAAATATTATTTATATATAAAATATTTATATATAATATAAAGTACATATAAATCTATATACAGTATATACATGAAAATATTTCTTAAATATATACAAGCATGTGTGTGTATTTATATATATATAAAATTATACACAGTGCACCCACATATTTTATGTAAACACAAACTTTTATTTTGTATGCAATTAATCAAAATTAATCGTTTGACAGCTCTAATTATTATTTAATAAATATATTTATAAAGACATATACTGCATTAAAGGAACAGTTATAGTTGATACCATGATACAGATTTATAAATATTAATAAGTTAGTCGTACAGTCCCATTAATGCATTGATAAAGATGCTGCCTGCTTTGCTATAATGTTACTATACTATAGTTAAAATGACTTTTTAGTAACTCAGATTTATTTCTGTCAAATAAGTGAATATTTTGTTATTATTAGCCATAGTGTGTTCTTATAAATACTTGTTGTGAGTGATAATACAGTTAATAACTCTATAAATGCATCATGATGACCTTAATGTTAAGAAATCATGAAGATGTGCTCATCGTACATTTGAAGTATGCAACTAATGAACGATAATTCCTGTAATAAAAGAATGAAAAGGACAACTCAAATAATTGACAATAAATTGATAACTAATTGATTCAGCACACAAGTGTCTCTGCATCTATTTATATTCAATTATTTATAAAACAGTGTATAACGGATTATGAGCATGCGAATTAAAAAAGCAAATACATGACTTATAAAAATAATATAAATGTAATAATATCTGTACTTATAATGCAGTATGACTTAATGAGACTCTATAAATGTATATATAGAATAGTAATACTTCTATAAATAGGGTTAAAAGTATAATTAGGGTTATAGTTCATTATAAGCATGGGTTTCATAGAATGTGAGATGTACTTACACACACACACACACACTGCTAGAGCATTACGTGACACTAGCACTGCGCTCTCCGTTTCAATCGATTCTCATTTTGGAGAACCGATACCCAACTAATCTTTGTTGCACCTCCCATTCAATACATCATAATAAGCTTTGCTATGTTTTAACACAATAAAAGTCTGTTTGTGTCCGTTTAATGTGTGTGCCAGATGAAGCGGTCATCTCTTTACTAGTTACAGCAGCAAATAAACATCAGTGAACATCAGGAGATACAGAACGACTCAGTGTTTCAGTGTTTTCAGATGTCACATAATCAATTTTACCTCAGAAAAGCCATTCAATGAACATAAACTCAATGTTTAATGAGAAAAATAACTCTAGAGAGCATTATTTGGAGCACTATATTGCATATTCGTTGTATATTTAAATGTTTTTATTTCAAAAACATAATTATGTCATTAAAAAGTTATTATTATAAAAACATCCTTATGTGTGATTTAAGTGCCTACACTCTAAAAAAATGGGTTGGTTTAACCCAATTTTGGGTCAAATATGTACAAACGCAGCCGTTGGGTTACATTTTTAAATAGCATTTTTAATCCTGCGTTTGGGTTGGTCCATATTTGACCCAAGATTTTGTTTAAACAACCCAGCGTTTTTTAGAGTGTATATAAATCAGTTTAACCTTCAATAGTGATGTTTCAACTGTATAGTTTAACATTAGTGAGAGATCCCAATTAATCAATCTTGAATCAAACTATCTCGGAACTGAATCGAATCGCAAGCTTGTGAATCAAAATTAAATTGAATCGTGAAACGCACCCAGCCCTAATTGTTAATTACTGTACAGACAGCAGCATAGTGTCCGTGTGAAACCCACGTGTGCCAGATGTGGGCCGAATCCGGGCCGACACTATGCTGCTGTCTGGTCTGTATAATAATATATAATAATAATATAATAATATAACATTGTGCATTTCCCACAAAAGCCATGAATGAGCCTGTGTGTGCAATAAATGCACAGTTGTTACATACCGAGCAGTCTGTATAATCATAATTAGTGATTATAGACATGTTACCTGGAGTAGTGGCTGCTGGGACTGCTGTAGTTGTAGCTGGAGGATGTGGAGGACACGTAGTCGGAGGAGCGGCTGTATGAGGGAAGAAGGGTGAATGTAGATTGATCCAGCATGATGTATAACAGGCAGGATAAAAACAGCAACACTGTCACTCCCAATCCCATCATTAGTGTATCCGATTGGAATCTGATCTAACGTTATTGATGTTCACACCCAGACCCACATCCGGTTAAAGTGGCTTCCGACACTATGTTGCTGTCTGGGAAGTGTGTATCGCAGCAGCTCAGATCCGATGTGTGTGTCCATGGAGCGGTAATAACTGCACGGGTTTCTATGGTCATGACGTTACGTTGGCAGGAATACGGCAAATACAACAGGGAATCGCAATAGAGATGTTGTCTTATTGTAATTTTACAGCATGCAAGTGAGATGGTCCTCACTGCGGAACATGAAATCCATGGGGAGGAGTCGGATCCAGATCCAACTCCTCCCACCTTACATACACCTAAACCTAACCAACTCCGCCCCCTGATCCCTAAACCCAACTGCATTGAGGTGCTACTGATGGAAGTGTGTATCCGGCGCGCTGGACTTCTGTGTCTCTTGAGGCAGATCGTCGGTTTACAAATATGTCTCGTTATACCGTCGTTTTCTGCTCGTCTGCCACTTTACAACAACACAGCGTTGTTTTTGGCAGCGAAACTATTTCCTATAACAACGTCTGACGTTTACGTGAGAAAGACTGCAAAAATGCGATTTGAATAGGGTTTCAAAGCACATGTAAATGTGTTTTTGTTGTTTACATTAGCTAATTCTGATCAGATACGCACAAAAATCAGATTTGGATTTGACGTCGTTTTGGCCCGTGAGGAATCCATGTGTACCGGATGTGAGCCGGATCTGGGCCGACACTGTGGCGTTAAAGGAGTCGTTCACTTTTAAAAAAAAACTCACCCCCATGTCATCCAAGATGTCCATGTCTTTCTTTCTTCAGTCGAAAAGAAATGAAGGTTTTTGATGAAAACATTCCAGGATTTTCTCCATATAATGGACTTCAATGGGAACCAAACGGTTCAAGGTTCAAAAGGCAGTTTCAGTGCAAAATGTTCAAAGGGCTTTAAACGATTCCAGATTATGAATAAGGGTCTTATCAAGCGAAACGATCGCTCATTTAATAAATAAATAACAACGTTTAAGTTTTATAAGCTCAAATGACTCTACTGTTCGAAGTCGTTTATCAAAATGAACAAATGTTTTCCAGAGTCAATTCGTTCATTTCGTTCGTTTAATCAACCAAATGACACGAAAAAAGATTTGTTCATTTTGATGAACGAGTTTGAACAGGAGAGTCACGAACGCGCATCACAGAACAGAGCAAGGTGAACATTTGAGCTTATAAAACTTAAACTTTGTTATTTATTTATTAAATGAGCGATCGTTTCGCTTGATAAGACCCTTACACCGTGTCCTAACTACACGCGACAAAAGTTCAGCGACAGCAAGTGTGTCTGTCCACACTAGACACGACTGTGAGACGCCACACAGCCATTTAGAACAGCGTGAACGCGCACTGTTGGAAATGGGTAAGGACATAATCAAATCAAGAAATAACATTATTAAAAATCAAAACATTAACAAAATGAACTCATTGACTAATTTTGTTATGAAGTACAGTCGTATGTTTGCATAGAATTCATTTTGAACGCTGTATTATATGATTTCAAAATCTGAGGTAAATTATCCGTTATCGCTTGTGGCACAGTGACCTATTTTTAACTAAAGATAAATAATGTGTACTCATAATCAGTGTAATTTCTTCATTCTGTCAGCCGCGGCGTCGCATAAATAGGAACCGTTTCTAAATTAGAAACATCGCATGTCGCCGTCGCGTCTGGTTAGGACAAAAACTCAGATTAACATGGAAAAGATAGCTTTTATTGCGTGTTGCGGCGTCGCGCCGCGTGTAGTTAGGACACGGTGTTATTCATCGTCTGGAATCGTTTAAAGCCCTTTGAACAGTTTGCACTGAAACTGTCTTTTGAATCTTGAACCGTTTGGTCCCCATTGAAGTCCATTATATGGAGAAAAATCCTGGAATGTTTTCATCAAAAACCTTAATTTCTTTTCGACTGAAGAAAGAATGACATGGACATCTTGGATGACATGGGGGTGAGTAAATTATCAGCAAACGTTTTTTTAAAAAGTGAACTACTCCTTTAAGATGCGACCTGTATCCGGATTTGTCCACATACACTTTGAAAAGACAAGTGTAAACACACTTCTGATGGGAATGTTATCCGATCAGTGTGTCGAGGATGCATTGTGATTGGATCTCAGTGTCATGTCGCGTCTGACGTCACACACACTGTGATTATCCCCCTCATTTTTTGCGATACAGTCGAGTACGAGGTACACCGCTCGTAAATACACTGAAATGTTTGCCTTCGCACCCGAGAGTTGCAGAACCGTTATGGTACGGTGTCGAGTCTTAAATCTGGATAAAGCAAAACAATTGAGAAACGCAAACTCATAATGCCTTCAGCTTACCTGAAATCAGGTTCATTATTCACATACTGCTTCACAAAGACAAACCCCCTGGAACACAGAGGACAAAGGAGATCAGGCACTCAACAGGACAATGAAGATCCGGTTAAACATCGGCTTTCACTGGAGGAACACTTACTTCCTGGAGTCCGCTTCGGGGGACTTCTCCGGGGCCGAACTCGCCACCGTTTTGGAGCTGGTTTTATTACTACGAGACAGAAGAGTCAGTGTGTGAGTAAGACAGCATAAACACTCTCACACGACTGGCAGTGAAGCTTCTCCTGTGTGTTTATGTAAATCATGTGTAATGACTGTTTATTTTGACTACAAACATGTGATCTAAGGCGGCTTTTATACTACAAACATGTGATCTAAGGCGGTGTTGTGTCTGTCAGGCTCTCTTTCAGTGAGATCCTTGAAGAAACAATGAGTAACCCAAGAGCTAATGTTATCCTAGTTAACCTGGCCCATATTTCCTAAACTGGAAAAGCTAGTTTTGACCAATATAAGAGTTTTACATGATGGTTTGACTGTGAATACTTGTTAACTCTTATTTTCAAAAGGCCTGACTTTATACATATCTTTTTTTCAGGGCTGGGAAACGATTAATCGCGATGAATCGCATCCAAAATAAAAGTTTGTGTTTACATAATATATATGTGTGTAGTGTGTATAATTATTTTGTATATATAAACACACACATATGCATGTATATATTTAAGAAAAATGTGTTATTAATATATCAAATATTTATTTTTATGTATAATATTAATTTTGTATAAATATATAGCTGCAAATATTTCTTAAATGTTTACATGCATGTGTGTGTATTTATATATACAAAATAATTATACACACTACACACACATATATTATGTAAACACAAACTTTTATTTTGGATGCGATTAATTGCGATTAATCGTTTCCTAGCCCTACTTTTTTTATATATAATATCCTCAAACAGAAGTCTGTTAATGCAAAGATTACACATTAAAAAAGAGGTTGGAAACTTTCTTGTGGAAAATGTGTAATAAATCTGAAAGTTAATATTATACAAATAAATCATTGAGTAATATTTGTAAGAAAATATGCTCCTATGAGTGCATATATATAATAATTAATTAAAAAAAAAAATATATATATATATATACTTCTTTTTAAAATATGTTTTTGTCAGGGGGGGAACTTAAATTTTCCCGTCAATAATTATTATTTTCATTGAAAAACATACAAATTCGAATCTTGAATCTTAAAGACTATCAAAATGAATCATTTTTAATTAATTTATTATATCAACACACCCAGTTAATGCTGATAAGAAACTTTGATGATAAAAATCACTGATATAATTACGTCAAAACTATCAAAGAACGATGTTTTCTTCAACCGCGCGTATGATTAGTGGGATTTGCTTGCATTATTGTTTTGGGAAGTTAAATAGTAAGACTTTATATGATAGTAAGAGCATCCCTTTACCTGTCCATGTCCGTCCTCCAGTCGCTGCTGTGAAGAAAGCAGAGGAAGTGTGTGAACGAGCGCTCGGTGTGTGTGAGAGTTCAGCTGTAAGTTTAGGGCTGGGTTTGCCACTTACACCTCCGGGACTTTAACCCATTATGGTACTGACTATTCATAGCAAACAATATGAATCAACACAGACATGATCCTCATAACGATGACGAAACCGATCTTTTAATTACCTTTTAGGGTCAAATGGAACGACATCTTCAGCCAAGGAAACCAAAACATCTTTTTGCATACTATTAATAAAATACAAAACATCTAGATTAATATTTCTGGTTAATCAAATGTGTATAATGACATCCTGAATCCTTTAATATTATAAACAGGGCTTGACATTCACTGTTTTGCTCATCAGTCGCTGTGGCCAGTGCTTTTCTAAAGTTACGAGACACTCAACGGTTTTAATTTTGACATCGATATAATGGGGGGACACTGCAATATATATACAGTATTTTTAATATTATCTTATAATTTGTCTGCAGGAATATTAGGCTTCTGTCACTTTAAAGGAGTAGTTCACTTTTGAAAAAACTTTTGCTGATAATTTACTCACCCCCATGTCATCCAAGATGTCCATGTCTTTCTTTCTTCAGTCGAAAAGAAATGAAGGTTTTTGATGAAAACATTCCAGGATTTTCTCCATATAATGGACTTCAATGGGGACCAAACAGTTCAAGGTCCAAATGAGAGTTTTTAAACGATTCCAGACGATGAATAAGGGTCTTATCAAGCGAAACGATCACTCATTTAATAAATAAATAACAAAGTTTAAGTTTTATAAGCACAAATGCTCGCCTTGTTTTGGTCTGTGTGACTCTTCTTTTCGAACTCGTTTATCAAAATGAACAAATATTTTTCGTGTCATTTGGTTCATTCAACGAAAGAAATGAACGAATTGACTCGGGAAAAGATTCGTTCATTTTGATGAACGAGTTCAAACAGGAGAGTCACACGGAACAGAGCAAGGCGAGCATTTGAGCTTATAAAACTTAAACTTTGTTATTTATTTATTAAATGAGCGATCGTTTCGCTTGATAACACCCTTATTCATCGTCTGGAATCGTTTAAAGCCCATTGAACAGTTTGCACTGAAACTCTCATTTGGACCTTGAACCATTTGGTTCCCATTGAAGTCCATTATATGGAGAAAATCCTGGAATGTTTTCATCGAAAACCTTAATTTCTTTTCCACTGAAGAAAGAAAGACATGGACATCTTGGATGACATGGGGGCGAGTAAATTATCAGCAAAAGTTTTTTTTAAAAGTGAACTACACCTTTAAGTGCAATAAACAGTGAAAATGAGCTCAATTTATTACTGAGAGGCGGCTTTATGTGTGTGAACTTTGTGTTTGAGCACAAAATCTCCAGGAATGAGTAAAATGATGCGCAACACACACAATCCCACGGTGAAATTCAAGCCCATAACAGAAACAATATTCATCCGGAGCAAATGAACGGAGTGAGTGAGGAGAGGCGGGTTTGTGTGTCACTCGCTGTCGGAGAGATGAGGGAGAGAGAGAGAGGCGCTGGTATCCCGTTTCTATTCTGCGTGTGTTAATGTCAAGCCCTGATTATAAAAGAAATGAAATGAAATCAAATATAGAGCATGTGAATTGATTTAAACACTCACTTAGAAACCAAGTCTACAGGTCTCTGAACATCATTGGCTGTATCTGTGGAACTGAACATACAAATATACACTATTATTATGACCAACTATATCACGGCACAAATAAAGATCATGAGGTTATCGAGAATCACCTGGAGTCCAGTGCAGGAGGACGGTACCATTGAGGACTGTGAGACACAAGCACACAGACACATAGATGTTAACACACACTGCTAAACACTGGGAACACACACACACACACAAACTCGTTACCTCTTTGTGGGCTCACCGTCCGCCGGTAAGGGGTCAAACTCGTCGACTGAGCTGAAAGATAAACCATTTCACACAGATTTAATGCTGAGCTCAGACACGTGTGTGTATATGGCAAGCCGTTTTAACTTTTAATCATCCGCAGGATATGAATTCTTGATATCAACAATGCCATTTTTTGATGTCAAGAATTGAATTGTTGATATCAACAATTAAATTATTGATATCAACAATTAAATTCTTGATATCAAAAAATGGCATTGTTGATATCAAGAATTGAATTGTTGATCTCAATAATTTAATTGCTGATATCTGTAATTGTATTTTCACTAGTGAAATGTCACCATAGGCTGGCAAGCCGTTTTAGCTTTTATTCATTTCCAGGATATGAATTCTTGATATCAACAATTACATTCTTGATGTCAACAAATACATTTTTTGATATCAAGAATTACATTTTTGATATCAACAATTAAATTATTGATATCAACAATTCAATTCGTGATATCAACAATTACATTTTTGATATCAAGAATTCAATTGTTGATATCAAGAATTACATTTTTGATATCAAAAATGTAATTCTTGATATCAACAATTGAATTCTTAATATCAACAATTGTATTTTCACTAGTGAAATGTCCCCATAGGCTGCCATTCAAAACCAATTGTTGATATCAAGAATTGATTTCTTACTAGTTGAAATTCCAATTTCACATATCAGAAATACAATTATTACTAGTAACAACCTTTATTTATGATATCAATATTTCAATTGTTACTAGTTGAAATGTTATTCTTGATATCAACAATTGAATTGCTACTAGTAAAAATTTTCATTTTTGATATCAATAATTCAATTTTCACTAGTGATAGTGTTAATTTCTGATATCATGAATGTGATTGTTACTAGTAAGAAAGCCATTTTAGATATCTGAAATAATATTGATATCAGAAATACATTTTCAGATATCAAAAAGTAACAATTTTACTAGTAACAATTGAATTGTTGATATCAAGAATAGACATTTTAACTAGTGACAATTTAATTATTGATATCAGGAATTCACATTTTTACTAGTAACAATGTAATTATTGATATCAAAAATGATATTTCTACTAGTTAAAAAAGAATTCTTGATATCAACAATTCATTTTGAATGGCAGCCTATGGTGACATTTCACTAGTGAAAATACAATTACAGATATCAGCAATTCAATTGTTGATATCAAGAATTCAATTGTTGATATCAAGATTTGAATTGTTGATATCAAGAATTCAATTGTTCATATCAAGAATTCAATTTTTGATATCAACAATTAAATTCTTGATATCAAAAATTGGCATTGTTGATATCAAGAATTCATATCCTGGAAATGAATAAAAGCTAAAACGGCATAGGCTGCCATTCAAAATGAATTGTTGATATCAAGAATTGATTTTTTACTAGTAGAAATATCATTTTTTATATCAATAATTACATTGTTACTAGTAAAAATGTGAATTCCTGATATCAATAATTAAATTGTCACTAGTTGAAATGTTTATTCTTGATATCAACAATTCAATTGTTACAAGTAAAAATTACCATTTTTGATATCTGAAAATATATTTCTGATATCAATATTATTTCAGATATCTAAAATGGCTTTCTTACTAGTAACAATCACATTCATGATATCAGAAATTAACACTATCACTAGTGAAAATTGAATTATTGATATCAAAAATGAACATTGTTACTAGTAGCAATTCAATTGTTGATATCAGGAATAACATTTCAACTAGTAACAATTTAATTTTTGATATCAAAAATAAAGTTTTTTACTAGTAATAATTGTATTTCTGATATGTGAAATTGGAATTTCAACTAGTAAGAAATCAATTCTTGATATCAACAATTGGTTTTGAATGGCAGCCTATGGGGACATTTCACTAGTGAAAATACAATTGTTGATATCAAAAATGTAATTGTTGATATCAACAATTTAATTCTTGATATCAGAAATGTATTTGTTGATATCAAGAATGTAATTGTTGATATCAAGAATGTAATTGTTGATATCAAGAACGTAATTGTTGATATCAATAATTTAATTGTTGATATCAACAATTAAATTCTTGATATCAAAAAATGTAATTGTTGATATCAACAATTGAATTCTTGATATCAAGAATTCATATCCTAGAAATGAATAAAAGCTAAAACGGCTTGCCATAGTGTGTACTATGATCAACACATGTGCCATCTCTTTAATAAAGCAAAGAGATCGTGAGAATTTGTGTATATTTGGGTGGTTTTCGTAAAAGATGTTCATTAAATAACCACGTGTATGTTGGTCGCACAAATCTGTGCCTTGTGGGATATCATGGTGTGTTTTCATTATTTAACAGGTGATTGCACTAGGAACCACTGCTTATTATCCATGCAGATTTATGCAGAAGTGTATTGCATTCACTTGAAGAAAAAAATCTACTCTGTTTTTTCTGATTAACGAGTTAATTATCTGAGAATTACGAGATCATTTTTCATGGAAAGAAGTTTTTGCTCTGTTTTTCTGAATTAATGACTTGATTATCTCAAAAATTAGGAGTAACTCATTAATTCATAAAAAGAGGGTTACATTTTTTTTTTCAAGATAAATACATCATAACTCTGAGATAATTAACTCGTTATTTTTTTTTCCTTCAAGTGAATGCAATACGCTTCCGTAGATTTATGCCCTTGTTTTATTTTAATTAAAGGTACAGCATGTGTTCAAAATTCAATACATCAGTCAATACATCATCAATCTTCCTTCAAAAACATGTTTTTGTTTTACTCTAATTCACTATGGTAAGTCTTTCATAAGTGTATATATTTTAGATCTGACTGGATGGTTTTCCCGGTTACCGTAAAACTTTTAATAATAGCCCGGGCTTTTATTTTCCCAAATCGTCAAAATGTACCGGCTTGTATTTGAGACAGGCGTCTATGCGAGACATGCCTTTATAATTTAGTTTTGAGATGATGTTCATTGAGTCTCTAATCTCTGAAAATGTCCAAATGTTCCACGTGAAACTGCGGTCTTCTGACCTTTTACTATCGTGTCAATTGATTTGATTAATATGCGCGAGGGAGAGAGAGCAAGATAGCGCGCGTGTTGGTTGAAGACGTGAGAGTGCGCACGCGCATCCGGCAATTCAAGATGTCCATGTCTTTCTTTCTTCAGTCGAAAAGAAATGAAGGTTTTTGATGAAAACATTCCAGCGTTTTTCTCCATATAATGGACTTCAATGGGAACCAAACGGTTCAAGGTCCAAAAGACAGTTTCAGTGCAATCTACAAACTGTTCAAAGGGCTTTAAACGATTCCAGGCGATGAATAAGGGTCTTATCAAGTGAAACGATCGCTCATTTAATAAATAAATAACACAGTTTAAGTTTTATAAGCTCAAATGCTCGCCTTGCTCTGTTCTGTGATGCGCTCTCCTGTTCGAACTCATTCATCAAAATGAACGAATCTTTTTTCGAATCATTTGGTTTATTCAACGAATGAAATGAACGAATTGACTCGGGAAAAGATTTGTTCATTTTGATGAACGAGTTCAAACAGGAGAGTCACACAGAACAGAGCAAGGCGAGCATTTGTGCTTATAAAACTTAAACTTTGTTATTTATTTATTAAATGAGCGATCGTTTCGCTTGATAAGACTCTTATTCATTGCCTGGAATCATTTAAAGCCCTTTGAACAGTTTGCACTGAAACTGTCTTTTGGACCTTGCACCGTTTGGTTCCCATTGAAGTCCATTATATGGAGAAAAACGCTGGAATGTTTTCATCAAAAACCTTAATTTCTTTTCGACTGAAGAAAGAAAGACATGGACATCTTGGATGACATGGGGGTGAGTAAATTATCAGCAAAAGTTTTTAAAAGTGAACGACTCCTTTAATGTGTAAAACTACAGTAATGTCCTCAGCCTCAGCTTGAGATCTTTCCATCTTAACTGGTTTCTCTTCAGACTAGCAGTGAATGTTTTATGAGCAGGAGGATATAATCTCTCTCTTAAGTTATGAGAAATAATATTCATCCGCACAGTCACACAGACCCAAACAATGTTCATCCGCAGAATACATGCAGTTTTGATGCACTCTAGAGGACCAAAAGTTACATTCTGTACCTAAAGTCGAATTTTTGTACTTTAAAAAATACAACTTAAAGGGAAAAAATTGAAACAGAAGCTAAAGGCTGTTTTCTTGACGCACAATAACCAATCAGAAGTGAAAAAAGTAGATTCAGATTTTACTGCACATGAAGGATATACTTTTGAATGTATGTTACAATTTTAGCTAAGATCTTGATATTTAAAAAAAAAAAAAGAAAAAAAAAGTATAAATGTATTGTTTTGCACGAAGTAAGAAAAGGTTGAGATGAGCACCTGGTGGTGTGAGTGCTGAAGGGAATCAGATCGTCCGCCAGCAGATCCAGACTGTGCTGTGTCGTCTTCGTCTGAGGAAGAGGACTAGAGGACGAACATCCACATGTACATCACGTGTTTGTGTTAATAAACTGCATTATGCCATCTCGAGCAATATGAATGCATCATTTCAATAAACGGTAAGAGATTTAGTAAGAGAATCGGGTTGACAGTTTAATTTGACATTACAAAACTTGTGAACTGAAATATATGCATATTTAAAAAAAAGAGGCTGGTATTCCAACAAATATTTATTAAATTATGTTTTTTTTTTTTACTATATCATTGTCTCCTACTAAAAATCATAAGAGAGAGTGTTTTTATGGTTAAAAAAAGAAAAAAAATTATAGTTTACTTGAGGACACAACTTATCTATAATATCTAATATAATAATCTAAAATTTAAAAACAAATATCTAAATTAATAAATATACATTTCCTTGTGTTTATATTAGCATATTAGACAGTCTACAGTCAAATTTAGCCTCTGCATTCATATTTAAATTCATTTTGTACACATATTTCTATGCTTCCGTTTGCAGAATGACCATAACCTCATGGGATGTCAAATATAATGATAATAATGATCCGCTCTCACCTGTTGTCCAGATCCAGACTGAGCAGATCCACTCCAGAACTGAAGAACAAGAAAAACAGTAATGATAATTACAGTCAGATTCTCTGATAGAGCTCTTGTGTCCTCTTGTGGTCTATTACAGAACAGCACGCTTTAAAATACTCTTTAAAGGCAGCCAGAAGATGTATTGCTACATAATTATAACATGTCTGGAAAATATTAGTAGTGAATTACAAGTTCAACCCAGTTACAGTCAATCTGCTGTTCTGTTTATGTATTTATGATTTAAATAAGTGACACTAAACTTATGTTAGTATCACAAAACAAATATTAACCCTTGACAATTCTCTCTGTGATGTGTCATACTATAACAGTTGAAATGATGACATTTTATTTTGATGGTCCGTTGTTGGCTATCTATGTGCCAACTAACTGCCATTAGAGTATTAGTGGACTGTCTGCTTAATATCTGCTAACTCTTTGTTGTGTTGATCCCCAACAGACATTATACTAAGTAACTTTGCATGTACATGTTAACTTGTTCTAATCCTAACAGAGTCTTCTAATACCCCACTAACACTGAGGGTTAGTAGACTTTTAGTCAACACAATCTGTTTAAGGGACCATCAAAATAAAGTGAAACCCAAATATTGAGCTTGTCAATGCCATGATAATTATTTATTTTTTTATTTATTTTTTTTCTGATTGTTTTCTGTGTAACCCTAAAGTGCATCTTCGGGACACTTGAGCATGAGTTGCATGGGATTGTTTTATGATTCCTTTACACCCTTTATTAAAGCTTGGAAAGAGAGCCACAGTATATGTACACACACAAGCAGAGCATTTTATAAATACATAAACTCTCCTTTTGTGTTTGAAAAAAGAAAGAAGGTCATGTGGCTTTAGAACAACACCAGGGTGAGTAAATAATGAGTGAACTTTAGGCCTTCCCTTAACAACAGAAATGGAAACCATAACAACGGACCTATTGTTTGTAGTCTAGCTGTGCAAACATTTCTTTGAATATGTCCGTTCATTTGTGCATGAATAGCACTTGACTAAATGCGTACTTCCACAATTACAACGAATGTTGCTTATGGACAGTGTTCATATTGAGTGAGTTTGTGTCCGTGAGAATCACACTGCAATAAATCGACATGACAGTGAGGTCAGATAAACAGCAACAGTAATACCGTACGGTGTGTGAAAGCCCTTTACACATGAACGACACTGAGATTAATGAACGTAATCTTTATATGACGGGGCTATTGTGTATTAATGGGATCATCTTGTACAGTACCTGGCAGGCTCTGTGTTGAAGGACATCAGGGAGTCGGACAGCTCAATCAGGCTCTTGGCACTGCAGAGGGATTCAAGAAAAACCAAGAAACCGCATCAACTGGATGATTGCATCTATAGACACACACAGGCTATATACACTGAACAAAATTATAAACGCAACACTTTGGTTTTGGAGCTGAACTCAAAGATCTATGTCCACAAAAGGCCTATTTCTCTCAAATACTGTTCACAAATCTGTCTAAATCTGCGTTAGTGGGCCGAGATAACCCATCGTCCTCACGGGTGTGGCACAGCATGATTATTGCACAGGTGTGCCTTAGGCTGGCCACAGTAAAAGGCCACTCTAAAACGATTTATACATTTGTTTAGTGTATATACATTAGATATCCAATTCTTTTAATTGAGTTGAATTCAAATATTTATAGAGCAAACCTTTTCTCTGGAACCGGCTCCGGCTTGGATTCAGCTGCTGTTTTCGTCACTGGTTTAGTTTCAGCTGCTGTTTTAGTTTCGGCTGCTGGTTTAGTTTCGGCTGCTGGTTTGGTTTGTGTCGTTGGTTTAGTTTCGGCTGCTGGTTTAATTTCGGCTGCTGGTTTAGTTTCGGCTGCTGTTTTAGTTTCGACTGCTGTTTTAGTTTGTGTCGTTGGTGTAGTTTCGGCTGCTGGTTTAGTTTCGGCTGCTGGTTTAGTTTGTGTCATTGGTGTAGTTTCGGCTGCTGGTTTTGGTTCGGCTGCTGGTTCAGGTCCTGATATAGTTATAGTTGGAGGTTTATGTATGGTTGTTGTTGTAGGTTTAGTTTCAACTGGTTTAGGTTCTGATATGGGTTTGGGATCAGTTGATGTTGCAAGCTGAGTTGTTGGTTTAGTTTCAAGTGCTGGTTTAGATTCAGTTGCTGTCATTATTTTTGTGGTCGGTTTTGGTTCAACTGCTTTAGGATCTGATGTAGAAGTTTGTGTTGTAGGTTTCATTACATCCACTAGTTTAGCCTCAGTTGTTGTTGTTGGTTTAATTTCAACTGGTTTAGTGTCAGCAACTGGTTTAGCTTCAGTAGTGGGTTTAGTTACAGTGACTGTTGTAGTTTGTGCTGTAGGTTTAGTTTCGGCAACTGTTTTAGTTTCAGCCACTAGTTTAGGTTCAGTTGTGGGTTTAGTCTCAGTTACTGTCTTAGTTTGTGGTGTAGGTTTAGTTTCAGTCACTGTTTTTGTTTCAAGCGCTGGTTTAGGGGCAGGTGTAGTTTCAGGTGCTGCTGGCTTGACCTCCTTCACCACTGGTGCAGTGAGTTGTTCAATGCTCGATTTAACACTGTAAATACAGAAAAATTGCAATTGAGAGCATGTAAAACAAGAAATAAGAGCATTAAGTTGAATAACTGACTGCCAAGAAACCAATAGTGTCGGCCCACATCTTGAATCCACTTGCACCAGATGTAGGCCGGATCTGGGCAGACACTATGTTGGTGTCTGGGAAATGTTGTGTAGTTTACCTTTGCTTAGACACAGGCTGAACAGATGCTGTAGTGTCATCATCATCACCACCAATAACTACCCTAAAACCACATACATATACACAAGCAATGAGGATGAGGCAATAGTAATTAAACATTGGGGTTATACAGAGGGACACTTGAACTTATTACTGATTTTTTTTAATGGAAACATACACTCACCTAAAAGATTATTAGGAACACCATACTAATACTGTTTGACCCCCTTTCACCTTCAGAACTGCCTTAATTCTATGTGGCATTGATTCAACAAGGTGCTGAAAGCATTCTTTAGAAATGTTGGCCCATATTGATAGGATAGCATCTTGCAGTTGATGGAGATTTGTGGGATGAACATCCAGGGCACGAAGCTCTCGTTCCACCACATCCCAAAGATGCTCTATTGGGTTGAGATCTGGTGACTGTGGGGGCCATTTTAGTACAGTCAACTCATTGTCATGTTCAAGAAACCAATTTGTAATGATTCAAGCTTTGTGACATGGTGCATTATCCTGCTGGAAGTAGCCATCAGAGGATGGGGACATGGTGGCCATAAGGGATGGACATGGTCAGAAACAATGCTCAGGTAGGCCGTGGCATTTAAACGATGCCCAATTGGCACTAAGGGGCCCAAAGTGTGCCAAGAAAACATCCCCCACACCATTACACCACCACCACCAGCCTGCACAGTGGGAACAAGGCATGATGGATCCATGTTCTCATTCTGTTTACGCCAAATTCTGACTCTACCATCTGAATATCTCAACAGAAATCGAGACTCATCAGACCAGGCAACATTTTTCCATCTTCAACTGTCCAATGTTGGTGAGCTCTTGCAAATTGTCGCCTCTTTTTCCTATTTGTAGTGGAGATGAGTGGTACCCAGTGGGGTCTTCTGCTGTTGTAGCCCATCCGCCTCAAGGTTGTGTGTGTTGTGTCTTCTTCACAAATGCTTTGCTGCATATCTCGGTTGTAACGAGTGGTTATTTCACTCAAAGTTGCTCTTCTATCAGCTTGAATCAGTCGGCCCATTCTCCTCTGACCTCTAGCATCAACAAGGCATTTTCACCCACAGGACTGCCGCATACTGGATGTTTTTCCCTTTTCACATCATTCTTTGTAAACCCTAGAAATGGTTGTGTGTGAAAATCCCAGTAACTGAGAAGATTGTGAAATACTCGACCCGTCTGAACACTCACAAAATTGCTTAAATCACCTTTCTTTCCCATTCTGACATTGAGTTTGGAGTTCAGGAGATTGTCTTGACCAGGACCACACCCCTAAATGCACTGAAGCAACTGCCATGTGATTGGTTGATTAGATAATTGCATTAATTGAACAGGTGTTCCTGATAATCCTTTAGGTGAGTGTTTACACATAATGATAGATGATTAAGCGCAATTTCTTTCATATCATTAGCTGTGCCATTTCAGCTCTTTCAACCCTATTTATATTTAGTCAGTTTGTCCCATTTAACCCAGAAATTTCCCAGGTACCTTTTGGCAACAAAGGATGTGCTCGTCTCATCAGAGATGTCTGGGTTGTCTGAAGATCTGGAAATATAAGATGTGAACATTATGCAGTGAGGGATGGTATATGCATTCATCTTAATATTTTCACCAAATACTAGTGGTATCTACGGAGCCCCCCTAGTCCCTCTTTGGCAAAAAAAAAAAAAATGATACTATCTCGTGGCCTCAAGACAGTAACTCGTGGCCTCAAGATTGTAACTCGTGGCCTCAAGATTGTAACTCGTGGCCTCAAGACAGTAACTCGTGGCCTCAAGACAGTAACTCGTGGCCTCAAGATACTAACTCGTGGCCTCAAGATAGTAACTCGTGGGCTCAAGATTGTAACTCGTGGCCTCGAGATACTAACTCATGGCCTCAAGACAGTAACTCGTGGCCTCAAGATACTAACTCCTCGTGGCCTCATAACACTAACTCGTGGCCTCAAGATACTAACTCGTGGCCTCAAGATACTAACTCGTGGCCTCAAGATAGTAACTCATGGCCTCAAGATACTAACTCGTGGCCTCAAGATACTAACTCGTGGCCTCAAGATACTAACTCGTGGCCTCAAGATACTAACTCGTGGCCTCAAGATAGTAACTCATGGCCTCAAGATACTAACTCGTGGCCTCAAGATACTAACTCGTGGCCTCAAGACAGTAACTCGTGGCCTCAAGATAGTAACTCGTGGCCTCAAGATACTAACTCGTGGCCTCAAGATACTAACTCGTGGCCTCAAGACAGTAACTCGTGGCCTCAAGATAGTAACTCGTGGCCTCAAGACAGTAACTCGTGGCCTCAAGATACTAACTCGTGGCCTCAAGATAGTAACTCATGGCCTCAAGATACTAACTCGTGGCCTCAAGATACTAACTCGTGGCCTCAAGACAGTAACTCGTGGCCTCAAGATAGTAACTCGTGGCCTCAAGATACTAACTCGTGGCCTCAAGATAGTAACTCATGGCCTCAAGATACTAACTCGTGGCCTCAAGATAGTAACTCGTGGCCTCAAGACAGTAACTCGTGGCCTCAAGATACTAACTCGTGGCCTCAAGATAGTAACTCGTGGCCTCAAGATACTAACTCGTGGCCTCAAGATACTAACTCGTGGCCTCAAGATAGTAACTCATGGCCTCAAGATACTAACTCGTGGCCTCAAGATACTAACTCGTGGCCTCAAGACAGTAACTCGTGGCCTCAAGATAGTAACTTGTGGCCTCAAGATACTAACTCTATCTTGAGGCCACTATTTACTATTTTGAGGCTACGAAATAGTATCTTGAGGCCAAGAATTACTATCTTGAGGCCACTAGATAGTTATAATTATTTTTTTTTTTGCCAAAGTGGGGGGCTCCGTAGTTATCTACTAATCCAGACCAAAAAATAAATAAATAGTGGAGATACACATATTTACTTAATTTAGCTCTAAAGGGAACATACAATTACGGAGAGTGCAGGACACTACCAAAATCCATGGGATTACCTTGATGCATTTAAAAAAACAGCAGCCTTCTGTATTTCAGAAGAGATATTTTTAACAAGGCACGTACCCATATTTCTTTGCCGCAGACATTACGTACGAACGGCGATTTGTCGCCGAACTTTTCAGCACATTGATGGCGGCCTCTGTCCTACACACACACACACACACACAACAGAAATGTTATTTTATGAAGAAGTCATCTTGGATTAATCAGCTTGTAGTGTGTGTGGACTCGCACCTCTTCTCCATTTCTTCAGGATCCAGAGCTGGTTCAGACAGCACTGTCTTTCCATTGCTGGGCCGGATCGTGTGAGGGGCTCTGGCAAATTAATATTTATGGGAATAAATCTTATTAAGATGTTCTAAAAATGAGCTCAAGAGACCCACAAGCTCAAGTGTTCTCGGCTCACTTACATTTTCTTGTAACTATCAGATGGCTTTTTGGTGAAGCTATTTACTCCACTAAGGCAGGAGACACAAACAGCATACTATTAACATTGATTTACAAGACCACATCTTATATTAGCAATACAGTTTATTTGCAAATAAACTACATCTATATTAATGTGATGGGATTTATCTAATGATGTTCTAAAGTCAATAGAAACTATGGTTTCAGGCACTAAATGAAAAGTGTTCTTTGCTTACGCATATCCATTGGTGGATGGAGTTGATGTTGGCTTGGAATCCGTTTTTATGAAAACGCCTCTGCAAAAGTAAATTATCACACATGAGGGAAGCGATACACACTAAAAATAACTCAATTGACTGAATATTCTCATTACCTGATCATGTATCCAGATGGTGGTTTTGGTCTGTGAAATTGAAATTAAATATTGACATTTTTAACAAATTTGGGGGTTTACAGAACATCTATACATCACAGATTTATTGACTCTATCCTCGAAATCTTCTACAAGCCCTATCTCCTAGTATCAGGTAATAAAAAATAAAAAAAATAATAATAATAATAATATATATATATATATATATATATATATAGGCCCTGAGAGGTGTACGCACTTCCCACGCATAAGTTGTGATTTATAAAAACAAACTTGACGCGAAAATGTGCGCATCTGCACGCAAACTCTGATCATGCGTACGAACGTTTGAGACGGAGCAGTTTGGCGACGCTGATGGTGATCTGATGAAGGAAAATCATTATGAATCCTAATCATATACTCAGTGCATGTTCACAATAACAGTTTATATAAATAAAATAATGATTTAAACTCTGTTTTACATCTGATATACATTTAAATATGCAATTCTCATCAATGGAATTAAGCACTTAAAGGGATAGTTCACTTTGAAATTAATTTTTGATATGTTTTAGCTTACCTCAAGGGCATCCAAGATGTACAGTAGGTGTCTTTGTTTCCACAGTATTTTCAATTTTGAAATTTTTCAGTCAAACTGTGTGGCTGTCTATCAGTCATACACTGGAGGCTAAGGGGGTCCACCAAAAAGCATGCACAGAGAAGTCAAAAGGTAAAACGATATAAATACTGTTGGTTTTCTCACACAAACCGCTCGTTTCGTGTCTTAGGGCATCAATGTGTACTTAAGTCATTAAATCATGTTTAATTTTGACTTCTCTGTGCATGCTCTTTGAGGTGAACCGATTGAGGACCCCCTTAGGCTCCAGTGTATGACTGATAGACAACAACGGTTTGACTGAAAAATATCAAAATTGAAAATACTGTGGAAACAAAAACACCTACATCTTGGTTGCCCTCGAGGTAAGCTAAAACATATCAAAAATTAATTACAAAGTGAACTATCCCTTTAAACTACATGAAATCATTACCGAGAAGAAGTTACAACATTTCTTATATTCTAATAAATAGAAATATTTGTTAGTGGATGCTATGCTTTTGAACACTTTTCCAGTGGCATGCTGTGTTTTAATGTTTGCTGAGCGCATTCAAAAATATTTTTGCACAAATATTGATCGATAATGCACATTAAAACCTATCTGTTTCCATTAAGAATATAAAGCAATTAAAAATATTATTTGGTCAGTGGAAAAGATTGAGAAAAAATTTCCATGAAATGTATTTTATATTATTATAAATAAAGGAAGGCAATGATAGGCTACTAAAAGATTTTTACCAATGTAATGTGACGCATCGCTTATTTTCCTAATAAACATTGTGTCACGTGGATGAATAATCATATGCAAATGATATGCAGATGAGGGTATGCATAGCTCCATATACTGTATGGTTATTTCGGGGAGGAGACGCATGCGCGCACAATCTTCCGCTGACTGGGATCTATAAAGGGAATTTTACGCAAGTTCTGGTTTTTCTTGACATACGCCATTCTGTCCTACGCACAGTTTATAAACGAGACCCCCGATCCTTCTGTCCACCTTATTGTTCAGAGAACTACACTCTGCTGGTTTGTGTTTTACTTCACAGATCTCTTGGCGTCAACTAACTGCTGGTGTACCCCAGGGTTCGGTTATCGGCCCCTTCCACTTCTTGAAATTCCTTTCCTATCATCTAAACACATCGATTTTCATACTCGTACTGGCATTTTCCACATTGGCTCTGGCCTGCTAATTGAACAGTACATACTTCTCTGTGTCGGATGTGGGCTGGGGCGCATTAACCGTGGGGGAAGAATCAGCCCCTGTGTCTTCAAACACACCATTTGAGCGGGTTGCTCGCACCTCAGCGATCCTAAAATGGAGAACGTGTTAGAAATATTGCACTGTGATCTTTTAACTTAGTTTCTCAAGCTTTATTTGTTTGCTCACCATGGTTTCTCCTCCTCCTGCTCCATCTCAAGTTTAGCTTGCTGTTGTCTCTGGATCCAGCTGGCGTCTCCTTTCAGAGCGGTGCGGACCTTGGTGGTCCGTAAAACTGACTGTCTGTCCCCCTCTGAAATCCACAGAAACATGTAAGACATCTTTTAAGATCTTATTCATTTTTATCAACGGTAATACACGCGCAGTTGTTTGAGTATTCAAAAAATATCTGTAAGTAACGTAAGTTTTTGTGTCTTATTTCCAATCCAAATATCAAAACATTTTTAAAGCCAGATGCATTTGCTAAAGTGGTAAAATACCATACCATATTATGTCTTGTTTTTTGGGGAAATAAATCAAAATTAAGGGAGTTTTTGCTTAAAATAAGCACAATTATCCGCCAATGGGGTAAAAGAATTAATCAAAAACTCACTTCATTTTTATTTATTTAACCAGAAAACAAGACATGATAACTTATGTCATTTTACTCATCTAGTAAATGCATCTTGATTTAAGGATTGGAAACAAGACTAATGCTAACTTAGAAAAGCATTTTATCAATGTATTTATTTTTAGGGGTCATTGCTTCAGGGGTTACGGAGGTGTATTGCATTCACTTGAAGAAAAAAAAATCTACTCTGTTTTTCTGAATTAACAAGTTAATTATCTCAGAATTACGAGATAATTTTTCATGGAAAAAAGTTTTGCTCTGTTTTTCTGAATTAACGAGTTAATTTTTCATGGAATTTTTTTGCTCTGTTTTTCTGAATTAACAAGTTATCCATGAAATCCATGAAAAATGAACTCATTAATTCAGAAAAACAGAGCAAAAACTTTTTTCTCATGAAAAATTAACTCGTTAATTCAGGAAAACAGAGCAAAAACTTTTTTCCATGAAAAATTCTCATAATTCTGAGATAATTTTCTTGTTAATTCAGAAAAACAGAATAGATTTTTTTTCTTCAAGTGAATGCAATACGTAATACATAATATATGCGCAGTTGTTTGAGTATTTAAAGAAGAAGTATGGCTGAACGTTGAGTGTGTTAAGCAATGTGTGACATGTGGCACGACAGGATTTGACGCGTTGACGCAGGACATAATTGTTTTGGTTGTAAGTGTGGAATGCCATAAATGAATGGCAGCAGTTTATGAACAAACGCCGACAGTTTGACCCGTGTGAGATTCAATCCAAACACTGGACACAGCAACGTACCTTTAGACATTGTTAGCGGCGATCAAGTGAAAAACCTTCCTGAGAAGACACCTGGACATTATAAAGACAGAAAAAAATATTATTATTTTTTTTATGTATACATCATACATTTTTCATTTTCACATGGTGAAACTTGCTTTGTCAAAATGGATTGCATTGACAATACGACATGCATTGACATTGATATATGTATAAAGATATACGAATTTTAACGTGACACTGAAGATGATGAAAATTCAATGACATCATATAGGAATAGATTAAAATTTAAAACTGACCGCAGACTTTTGAATGGTAGTCTATGTATATTAACCCATTTAATCCCACTGGTAACTTCCATTTTCCAATCATTTATGTCATTTTGTCATCATTTCATTTGATTATTTGTGTCGTACTGCTATTTAGCTCTTTTTGAAAGTGAGCCTTCTTTGTTAATAGAATAAAACACTCATTTCAACAATTTAACCCAGACCTTGAACTCATTGCTGGAGGTTTGCGAGTTTATAAATGCATTAACACCAGTAGGTCACATTTTTCATGGAATTTTCAATTGTTTTTTGACATAATTGTTAAAAATCCCTACAAATACCATACAAATATGTCAACATTTGGAATTTAATGGGCTAATATGAATTATTATTATTGAATTGGTCTTATTCCTGGAAGCACTGCATATGTTCTAAATAATGACACTATTTATTAAATAAAGGCGGATTGTTGGCAAGTTAAACAACCACCAACCAACACAAAAAGAAATTGTCATTGTGGGAGTGTCTCACAACTCACGCACTGAAAAATTCATTCAGAAATTCTCCAAGAAACCGACAGATTTACAGAAAACTGGGAAGATGAGGAGCCGTGTTAACTTACATAAAGCAGATTCCTTAAATGATTCATTCCTTACATTATGCATATCTCTGTTTATTTAACAGGGTTATTTTGAACCTAGGATATACATCTGTAGGGACACTGAAGGATTATGCAAGAGTTTCTTTTCTAAACCATGTAGAAGAGCCTGTCCATCCAGGCAAACACACACACACACAAACACACACTCTCTGAAAACCAAGACCTCCTGATCATGAACATCTGATCATCTGTACATAACCCTTCCCTTACGTTATATCCTATACATTAACTAGTTCATTAAAAGCAGATTTTTTTGTAAAACTGACTTGAAAAATCAACCACCCTAGTGTCCATAATTGTTTGTTTGGTTTCCAAATGAACTTCCCAGTGTGTGTATAAAGCCCAACACTCCTCACACACCGCAGTGACACCGCATGACCTTCAGAGTCAACAGAGCTCGAGCAAGAGGAAACATGTTTGAGTGCTGATCATGACCGTGTGAAAGAAATCATTGATATATGACGGCAAAAACACTTTCACTGCGCCACACACCACATTACAGATGATACCAGCTGATTTATAAGAAACTGAAATAAATATGTCATCTCAAGCTTTCAATGCTTCAGATCTGTTAAACATTTGCCAACACCAAATAGCCACATTAGAAAGAGTCTTAATGAACATGAGGACTTACCTGATGAGTATGAGTTAAGCTCCAGTCGAAGGCAGATGCACTGGTGATTTCAGCTGACTGATTGAGAGCTCACACACACACTGAGGGAGGTGTTGCAGGTATGGGTGTAGGCACAGACCAGCCCAGCCAGTCGGGTAGGCCAACCAAACCTATAGGTGTGTACCTGCATGTGTGTGTGTGTGTTTCTATGTACTTCTTGCTTTGGTGTGATACTCTCCCACCTTTATTTGTTGAATTCTGTTTTATCCGCATTTCAATACAGACAAACCTGAGATCAATTACTGTGAGTGATGTCACATGTCTCCAGAGGGAAAGTGGGACTGTTCTAGAAGCTCCCAAACATATCCACTTGTGCCTGAGATGCACTCTTAAAAACAACCCAATTTGGGGTTACATAGCATTTCCCTTTGTTTGATGATAATACGATAGATTAATAATAGCATTATTATTAGACTGTCTTCAAAGGCAACCACCCCTTAGTGTCCATAATTGTGTTAAAAACAACTCAATTTGGGGTTACACTAAAAATGCTGGGTTGTTTCAACCCAATTTTGGGTCAAATATGGAAAACCCATAGTTGGGTTAAAAATGTAACCTAGAGGCTGAGTTTGTCTATGTTTGACCCAAAGTTGAGTTCAAACAACCCAGGATTTTTTAGAGTGTACATAGCAATTCCCTTACGTTATATGCTAAACGTTAACTTGCCTAGTTTGATGACACAAGGGGTATTACTATATTATTCATTAATAATAGCATTATTATTAGCAGACTTTTTTGTTAAACTTCAGTCAACCACCCTTAGTGTCCATAATTGTGTTAAAAACAACCCAATTTGGGTTTACATAGCACTTCCGTTTTGTTATATCCTGAACGTTAACGTAATCAACCATTCTCTGGTCTCGTACCAGTGTTTTGTAACCCCTCCCTTAATCCTAGCTAGGTTGTTACGTCTGACCCAGGACCTGGGGAACACAAAAACTGGGTTGTTACATCTGACCCAGGATCTGGGTAACAGAAAAACTAAGTTGTTACGTCTGACCCAGGACCTGGGTAATACAAAAAATGGGTTGTTACGTCTGACCCAGGACCTGGTTAACACAAAAACTGGGTTGTTACATCTGACCCAGGATCTGGGTAAAAGAAAAACTAAGTTGTTAGGTCTGACCCAGGACCTGGGTAATACAAAAAATGGGTTGTTACGTCTGACCCAGGATCTGGGTAACAGAAAAACTATGTTGTTACGTCTGACCCAGGACCTGGGTAATACAAAAAATGGGTTGTTACGTCTGACCCAGGACCTGATTAACACAAAAACTGGGTTGTTACATCTGACCCAGGATCTGGGTAAAAGAAAAACTAAGTTGTTAGGTCTGACCCAGGACCTGGGTAATACAAAAACTGGGTTGTTACGTCTGACCCAGGATCTGGGTAACAGAAAAACTAAGTTGTTACGTCTGACCCAGGACCTGGGTAATACAAAAAATGGGTTGTTACGTCTGACCCAGGACCTGATTAACACAAAAACTGGGTTGTTACATCTGACCCAGGATCTGGGTAAAAGAAAAACTAAGTTGTTAGGTCTGACCCAGGACCTGGGTAATACAAAAACTGGGTTGTTACGTCTGACCCAGGATCTGGGTAACAGAAAAACTAAGTTGTTACGTCTGACCCAGGACCTGGGTAATACAAAAACTGGGTTGTTACTTCCGACCCAGGATCTGGGTAACAGAAAAACTAAGTTGTTACGTCTGACCCACGACCTGGGTAACACAAAAACTGGGTTCTTACGTCTGACCCAAAAATACACAAGTATACATACAACGTACGTATTTAACCCAACAGCTGGATTATTACTAGAAACTACCCAACCATTTTAACAATCAACCCAATATTTTTGGGAAAAATAACCCAACATAGTGACCCAAGGTTTTTTACGGTGTGATGGTAAAGGGAGGCAACTTGCCTCAACCACACGTTAACAGGAGGTACCCGAGGAGTGGGTCAGGACAAAAGTATATATTTTTTTCACGAAAAAGGTCACGCAATCAAGGCCATGGTCAAGATGTAAATCAGCTTTACAGTTCAAACAGTAAATACTTCTGGATAAATCTGGATCTGTTTCCTGTAAGTCTTGATGATATCACACTATTATGATATAATATATCAACACTTGATGAAATATTAACATTTTGTGTAGGGTTTTGAATTTATGTGTGCTGTATTTACACTTGTCTATTTTGAATTAAATTACATTAAATTCTAGACTCCCCAATATATAGTTTGTCTTTTAAAAATACATTTGTTGAAACGTGTGTATTGTTAATACAAATAAACAATCTGTATTTGTAACAAAAGTGTATTTTATTTATTAAAATAATATAATTAAAAAACTTAAGTTTTTTTCTTAAAGTTAACTGAACTGTTGGGTTACTTTTAACGCAATGCATTGGGTTAAAATAACCCACAGTTGGGAAGGTGCTATACCACCCCATAGTTGGGTTAGTCGTTGGGTTATTCATAACCCAACTTTATTAAGTGCGTAGACTTGCACTTGAAACACAGTTAAGGAACATGAGGGCAGATCTTATGAAGGAGAACCGGTGTTAAATAAATCTTGTAAATGGACTTAAAGTTTTTCTCCTGATCCGTTATTGAGACGGATAACCTCTCCTCCAAGTCTGAGGGAGATCAAAGTGTTTTCTTTCATCTTTTAGGAGAGCTTTAGAGATTTCTATTCTAATTTCTAAAAACCATTATTAGGTAAATGCATTTCTGTCCAATTTTTTTTTTTTTTTAAAACATACCAAATTCTTAAAAGGTTTTAACGAAAGTTCTGATTGAATGACCCGGTTGTTTTGCAAACGTGTTTCACACAGTGTTTGTAACAAATGAAAAAGTTGTCCTGAGGTTATTGTCACAGCAGGAGGAGCCGCACAACACACATGTCTGACATTTTTCAGTCTTTATTCAAAATGCTTTAGTGAAACCAAAGAATGCAAGGATTCTCAATAGAGTGTGTGTGTGTGTTTTCACATCTGTGTCGTGTTTTGTTTTCTTTATTTTTTATACAATTTAATGCTTATAATCTACCATCACTAGTCATTTATGTAGTTGCAATTTGATTTATCATTAGTATTTGATTGTCATTTTATGTTGTTATATTTTTTTCCTCATTTCCTCTTACAATGGCTGCTATTGTGGTTTAATCGTATGATTGTGTGTTTTGTAAGGGATAAGAGAATGTCTCCAGGTTTTTAACATACAGGACGATGTTGTAAAGCAGTAATTTTTCAGACATTTAGATGAACATATGCAACTAAGATTATTACTAAAGCTCTTTTCACCATCATCATCATCATCTCCTTCTGCTCCTTTCTTTCTCAGTCAGACTCTCCGGCTGATAGAGACAGACTGAAGCTCTGATACCAGACTGGACTGGTTTTACTGGTTTTGGACAACGGATATCTTCTGGCAGGGATTAACTATCAGATATATCTATATATTTCTGACTTGGAGATCCATCTGATCAAACAAAACGGTAGGAGAACTAGCAAACCACACTAACCCATAAACGAGAACAGAGTATGTATCCATAGCAAACATAAAGACACCAGTGCAAATCACAAGCAACCACAGAACCAAACATAGACAAATGAGGAAACCAAAACTAAACTGAGTGGAGAAACAGGAACTAAAGGAATCAAAACAGAACATGAATATGACACATAGCATTTTGTGTGTGAATTTCAGTAAGTTATCAGTCGGTTTTATGGTTGTCCTGTGATGTGACAACAACACGACTTGGCTACACAACACTGACTTCAGAGGAAACCATTTTGATCATTTTTTTTTCTTTTCAAATATTAATATTTTTAAACAAAATTGATTTACTACATAAATACTATTTTATTATTTATTATCATTAAATATCATTGAATGGGACAGCAAGGAGCTTGGACTAAATGGGAAAATGTTCGGCATCTGGGCCGACATCTAGAAAGGAGACTTCCATCGTATCAGGTTCTTAGTCCAACTATGTCCTACTAAGTCCAGTCATACTCAGACTGTAGTCAGAATGTGAGTCTGATGCCCCATTGGCTGTGATTATAGGGCGTTTCAACCAAACCAGGAAAGAAAATGCCTCTGCACTCAATTGGATAGACCGAATCACGTAGGAAGGGCAGCAAAAACATCTTTGTGATTGACAAATGCCTTGATCGTTCCTCTTTTAAAATGAATGTGCGGTATACATCTAATACAGACGCAACGGCTGAATCTACACATCTCAGTTCTCCAGCGGCGGCCATCTTTGTTGTAAACAAACTCAACCCAAGCAAGCGCTATAGACCTTATTCAGAGCAGCGCCATGACAGGTATGAAAGTGAGGCTGTGAGGGATAGACTTACCGTGTTTCCAATGGCATCCGCTGTAAAAAGCTGAATAAAGCGGCTAGATTACTTACAATTTTCCACAGCTTACATTGTCAGGAGTTTTTTGTCAACTGACATTTCTTGGAAAGATATTTTCCCAGTGTTTCATGAGCAGAACAATCCGAAAACACATTAAATAACAGTACAGCCCATTGAAGAGATGCAAGTCTATCCCTCACAGCCTCGCTTTCTGTACTTCTGGCTACGTCGCCCGTGACCATTTGAACGTAATTGCGTATTACGTGACGTTGCAAACGCGCCTCACAGAATAGAGAAAGGCTAGCATTTGTCCTTAGAAAAGTTACATTTTTGGAATAAGCTTTGAAATAACCGATCGTTTCGCATGATAAGACCCTTATTCATCGTCTGGTGTCGTTTAAAGACATTTGAAGCTGCATCTGAAACTGTTATTAACACTATCTTTTGGACCTGAACCATCCGGTTCCCATTGAAGTCCATTATATGGAGAAAAATCCTGGAATGTTTTCATCAAAAACCTAAATTTCTTTTCGACTGAGGAAAGAAAGACATGGACATCTTGGATGACATGGGGGTGAGTAAATTATCAGCAAAAGTTTTTTCAAAAGTGAACTAATCCTTTAAGGCAGTTGCTGAGAGCATAGCCACAGATGTTAACCCCAT